ATTAAAAGGCATTGCTCTGAACTCCACCTACAACACCATGAAAAATTTCCCTTTACAATACCTCTCCCATCATTCATCGTCTTCTATTTTCCTATCTCCTGGTTATGGATGTTTCAGATTTTTACCATAGAACTCCTGCTTCAATCCATGTAGCTATGAACAGCATCCAGGGAAAGAAGCAAGATAAACAACAGCAATTTGGAAATGTTTCTGACTTGCATTGATCTTCAGCACAGATTTTTTTAAAATTCTTATGACTCACAGCAACATCTGAATTCACTGTGAAAAGAAGTTTAATTTAACCTAAACCACCAAAATTCAAGTCCTAGGAACCACAAAGCAGGAGAAAAATTTAATATAATATTGTCTTCTGGATCACATCAAAATAGATATGTTCACTTACTGGAGTGGTCAATACAAAATACTCATGAAACACTCAGATTGTATATGGCATACCATAAAGGCACTGAGAAAAATTATTTTTTTTCTTTTATGAGTTTCATTAGCATAGAATAAATAATATATCTGAATTTGCATTATCAATATGCAAGTTCAGACATATAGAAATGTGTCTCCAGTCATAGTTTCAGCCTGTTTTACACTGTTCTATACGTGTGTGTGTGTATTTATATATATATATGTATGTATATGTGTGTGTATATATATATATATATATATATATATATGTATGTATGTATATGTATATGTATGTACTTTGTAATACACATACAGATACACTCTTAAGGTAAAACTTAAGGTAAAAAAGTAGGGGGTTTTGATCAAATACCTCATCACTATAATTTTTTGAGAGGAGCATTACCTGCTTGGGAATTCTGCAGACGGTCCCAGAAAGCATTAAAAATTCTGGTCCTGCAGTATTTGACATGTTTTGCCAGGGAGGGGAGGTAAACCTATGCTCAAATGCTAGAATATTTAGGAGACAAAATGGTTTTTTCAAATTATTAGGCTTTTCTAACTGGAAGGAGGTTTGAGGGAAAGAAAACTGCAGAAGATGTATTTCACATATTTCTTATAAAAAAAAAAAAAAAAAAAAAAAAAAAAGGCACCCAACTGGTATTTTTCCTATCAAAACCAATACTGCTTACTTTTCCATCTTTCAGGCAGTTGAAGATTAAGAAGCTGAGTTGCATGGCCCTGCTGGACATCCAGGACATTATGTTGTCAAGAGATATGAAGTCCACATTTTTACCCTGCAGTGCTAATAAATAGGTTTTAAGCCATCCCTTGTGCATGACTGAACAATGTCCCCCTATGCTAAGACCAGCTTGTTTTGAAGGTAAAGTTCCTTAGCTGAGGAACAATCAAGTTTCATATTAAAAAGACAAGGCAGATATTTAAAGAGTTTATATAGGCAGATTTTTAAAGCTTAGAGGCTTGGAGCTTTACATTTTTCCTAGCCAAGGTTCTTAGGTTTGTAGACAGAAGAGTGATAAAGTACATAACATATTAGAGGCATAATAAATTGCAATTAAATATCTCATCCTGCAATTTATTATATATTTATCACTTTGCCAATATTCACTGTATCTGTAGAGACAGAAGTAGTTGATCAGGCCAAAATCATAACAAGTTGATAATCTGTGTTTAGGGATTATTTTAATGAACAGTCCTAAGATAAAAACCACCAAAAATGAGGTTAAACCATAATGTAACAAAGATAGTCTGAAAAGAACAGATCCTGTTAGCACAGGAAAAGTCAATCTGGATAGCTGATATTCCTATTTGTAGTTTTTAAAAGAGCACCTGCTAACCCTCGCTGAATGCCAGATGCCCACCAAAACCAAACCCCACTATCCTCCCCATCCTCAGCTGGCCAGAGGAGAGAAAATACAGCTAAATGCTTGTGGGTTGAAATAGGGACAAGGAGAGATCACTCCAGTTACTGCCACAGGCAAAACAGACTGCACTTGTGGAAAAATTAATTTATTACCAATAAAATCAGAGTAGGATAATGAGAAATAAAACCGTACCTCAAAACACCATCTCCCCACCCCTCCCATCTTCCCAGCCTCAACTTCACTCCTGAATTTTTTCTACCTCTTCTCTCCAGGAAACATGGGGAATGGAGGCTGTGGTCAGTTTATCAGGTTGTCTCTTCCACTCCTCACACTCTTCTCCCTGCTCCGCCGTGGATCCCTTTCACAGGGTGCAATCCTTGAGGAACAAACTGCTCCAGTGTGAGGTCACCCATGGGGTCACAAGTTCTGCCAGCAAACCTGTTCCAGTGTGGGCTTCTCTCTCCATGAGTCCACAGGTCCTGCCAAGAGCCTGCTCCAGTGCAGGCTGCCCACATGGTCACAGCATCTTTTGGGCATCCAGCTGCTCTGGGATGAGACCTTCCATGGGCTAGAGGTGGATCTCTGCTCCACTGTGGATGTCTGTGGGCTGCAGGGGCACGGCTGCCTCGCCACAACCTTCCCCATGGGCTGCCAGGGGATCCCTGCTCTGGCGCCTGCAGCAGCTCCTTCCCCTCCTTCTGCACTTGGGTGTCCACAGGGCTCTTTCTCTCACATGGTCTCACTCTTCTCTCTTCTCCTTCTTGAATCTGTTATACCAGAGGCTTTCCCAGCTTGGCCAGCAGCTTGTCTTGGAGCCAGCTGGCACTGGCTCCTCCAAGCATGGGGAAAGCTTCTGGCAGATTCTTCTCTGCAGAAGAGTTATCCCTGTAACTCCCCACTACCAAAAACATGCCTCAAAAATCCAGACACACACTGAGTCTCATTTCTCCTGCTGAAATAAGATTGGGAAACCCCAACAATCTTAGTTGATGACATATTCATTATTGGAAATGCTGATCAGGAGGCTGTAAAGGGAATGAACGCAGTATTGGAAAGAGATATAGCAAAACATAACTAAAACAGGAAAAAAAAAACAAAAAAGAAAAAAACAAATAAAAACAACACCATGTTGAAAGGGTCTTCAAAATTGCCTTCAAACCTTCCTCCATCTTCTTTTATATTATTCATTTAAATAGAGTGAGCTTAATTCTGTAATTCTGAAGTACTCCAAAAATCTGTTCCCATACACCTGTGCCCATTTTTGCCTTATAAAAGATCAGTTAAGATGAAAAACATGGCAGCCTTGGGAAAAGAGCAGCAGAAGTGATGCCCCTCACAGTGCTAAAAAAGCTGCTAGGAATAAGGCAGTGAAGAGAGTGGACAGGAGTCAGCTGGGGAAAAAAAAAGCCAGCTACAACCTGTAAGAGTAGAAAATAGAGGCTATGCACTCAGGGCAGCTGCCATATGAAAACATGAAATATAAGAATTCTGTTGGCAAGAACTGAGCTTGAATTTCAGTTTCTTTCTAAGAGCTCAATTTTCCTCCCCTGACCCCTGTTGTGGTAGTGCAGGAACCCTAAAAAAAAGATAATGTCTTTTGAGTAGTATGGCAAAATTCAAGCTTAAGTTTGTTCAGATGATTTTAATTGTTTTACTTGCTTTATGTCTATATGCAGAGTTCCAGCTGATGCAAACATCAATGGATGTTTACCATGTATATCTCTACACAGATGTATATTTTACATTTCTTTTTTAACAGGAACACAGTCAGTAACACAGTTCACTTGAAATATGCCCCTGCTACAGAAATGATGTTATTTATGGGCCAACAACTTTTTCCAGTGTATGATATGCGCAAGGCAGCCCCCCCCGTCTCATGCCATGCAAGATTGGAATGAAAGCTGTTAGCATCCTGACAGCAAAATACAAGGCTGTCACACCACTTTAATTGGCATTTGTCTGGGCGAACAGCAAAAAAAAAATTTCCATAAATGCCTTCTTAAACCTAAACATTATGTTAAGAACCATAATTTATAATTTAAAAAAAAATCACAAACTATGTGCATTTTTAATTTTTCAAGGTTTACCAGCTCCTGCAGCTCCTTACCATCATTACAAACTGCATCAAGTCTGTGCAAGGGTGAGTGAGAAACTTCCCTTTTCTTTCTTCCACAGAGAGTTTTCAACTATTTAGCTTTCCCAACCTCCAGACTCGCAGATTAGTTTGAAAATATGCCTCCTTCTGTTATTTGGCCTCTCACATACTGTTGCTTCTCTTCTCTCTTTCATTTCATAAAAGAAAATGTAATACCGTGTTCAATAATTTCACTTCACAGCCAACGCCATATGAAGTATTCATAAACCCTGTACAAAATGTTTTGCATTGCATGGCACTTCACATGTTCAGGGCCTTCTTCTCTCCTCTTGTAGAGCATAGTCAGCTCTCCCACACAATGAGGATGGTGGGTCAAAGCCTTGTACTTATTCAGTATGAAAATTTGTATTTGTCACCACAACTGCTGCACTTTTAAACAAAGGATACCTCAAGACAAACATTCTCCAGAGGAAGGACTCTCAGCTTAGCTCTTTCCACTGCTGAGCCACTGAGATCATGCAGTAGTCAGCATGAAAATATCTGGCAAATGGGATTGCAAATAGGACAATAAAGTACTATATGAAAAAGCACAAGATAAATTTATCCTTGAAAACTCAAGTGGGCTACTCCAGGAAGGGTATTGTTTTCCATTTAGTTTGAGATAGGTCATTTACAGATTGAATGAGTTTTAAAAGCTCATTCCTAAATAAGGGAATGTGAAGGTTTTTCCTTCAATGTGTATATGTCAGCATTCTACTTGATCCATTTTAATAGGGGAAAAAAGCTGTATCAGTGGGTAAGGCAAGTAGATGCTATAGCAGATAACAATAGTTTGGTAAAAAGTGATTTTTCCTAAAGTTGATGCAACACATCAGAAAGAGATGGAAGACCCCTGAAAGTCTGTATGCTGCTAGAATGTCTTATTAAAATAACCAACAAACCAACAAACCATTTCCCTAGCATCTTTTCAGTATCATCTTTTATTTAGCCTTTTATTATCGCAATTACTTTTTCATAAATAACTTCTTTAATTGTTTACATTTTATTACGGAAAACTGAATGGGATTGAAAAAAATACCTCAGCCTGTTTACCAAGAATCCCCAGACAAGATGCTGATGATTTATTTACTAGTGCAAACAGAAGTATTTTGGTTTAAACTCAGATCTTATAAAAACAGCTGTAAACAAACTGCCACATCAGTACTACATCAGATACGTGTTGCATTAAAAAGAACCTTTAAAATGTTTTGCAAATTAACTAGTGTCCTCTACATGTAATAATGTTAGACATTATTCAGTTGTTGTTTTAAAGAGACATCTTTATTATGTCATGAAATCATAATATACACAGGTATATGAATAATTAATCTGAATTCACTGAAGGCCTGCAGTTTTATATGGCACATTTATTCTAATTCTAATATTTTTATGTATATATTTGCAATCGGTTATCACCACTGTTGGTCACCAGAGTTCTGGATAAATTTGACTTTATCCAGCTACATAGTTTCAAAATACTATTTGTGAGTAGAAAATCTTCATTTTCTTATTTTGAAGTTCACTATTTAATATTCCAAATGCTGGTGCATAGAGTATCAAAAATGCAGCCTATATGTCACAGGGGCTGTGAGAAGCATTTGTATGCAGACACAGACAATCACGTAGCTTTTCTGGCCAGCCTTCCAAGTCCATGATTTTCTTATGCAACTCCATGTTACATCCTAGCAATTAAACAGTCTTTAACATTCAATCAGCAAAATCCTAAATTTGCACCTGGTAGATAATGTGTTATTTTTCAGGCATGCACACTCTTTGCCTCAAATGAGACAGAAAAAAGGCTTTTTGTACGCAGGGAGCATTCCAAGGCAGGTGCATTGACAGTAATGTGTTATTTTCATCCACAGAGCTCAAAAACAATCCCATGCTCTTAGCTGTTGTTCTGTCACTGTACACCAGCCATCTCCTCACACAAACAGTTTCCTTTCTGCAGCACAGCTCAACAGCAAAATCCAGAACAAGACCATATGAAGCACTATTAACCTCCTGCAAACTTTCCAGATAGATGGAGCATTTGTAGCGAAGGATGCACCTCAGATTATCATTCCTAAAATATGGTAGCTATGTTATCATATTGCAGATTTGGTTTGTGATTGTTGGTGTATCCAACTTGGCAGCTAAAAAGGCTCCTGCCACAAGATATTCACCATATGCTCCTTGATTGCTGTTGCTAGACAGGAAGGTAGAATAGCACCAAACCCACTGAAGCATTGTCGTATACCCTGATACTCATTTTCAGTTGCCTTATTGTGCTTGACTGTGAGTGCTTCAGCTCAGGAACTGGTTCATGTTTGCTTCAATTCGTCCTGCCATTTGTTGCAGCAAGATCTGCTTCAGAACAAACAACAGAAAGCATCAGCTGCCTCAGCCATGCAACTTTAATCCATTTGGTTTTGTCTGCATTTCATTAATATCTCAATTAAAGTCTACAAATTCTCCCTTACTGCTGTAAACAGTGAAGATATCTAATAGATGAACAAATGGTAAATGCTATAAATATGCAGTCTGAAATAACATGAAAATCAGTAGAGTGCCAAGCCACAGTGTATAGAGATGCTCTGCACAGTAATCTGATTGTTCCAAATGTATTTGTTTTGAAAACTATGACATTTGCAAAGACAAAAATGAGATTTAGGGGCAAAATGGGATATAAAAGAAACCTGGTCTAGTAGAAGATATCCCTCTTATGGAAGGGGAGTTTGGAACCCCCTTCTTTAATGTTCCTTCCAAACCAAACTATCCTATAATTCTGTAAAAGTGTCAACCACATTCTGAAATGTGTTTACACTGAGAAAGATCCTGGGGTCATAGAGTAAATGAGCTAATTAAGCATGAATATTCAGCAAAGTGCTATAGATAAGAAAATGACTCTGATTCCTGGATGCTTAAGCCAGCAAATACTAAGATTACTGAAGAGCTGGTATTTATCTCTGTAAAGAGCATTAGTGAGACCATTACTGGAATATTATGTCATGCTGTGCAGTACACAATTTAAAAATTACTGAGTCACAAGTTAGAAGGATTAAAAATGTTTTCAAAATAACTTGTAACCTGAAAAATCCATCTGTAAAAGTGTTAATAAGCTCTAATTAGTTTATTAATTAGTAGGCTAAGTTATTACTTGTTCAGCTTCTGTAAATACATGTAAGTAAAATATTCATGGCATTTAGCTCTGTAAGACAATAATTTAAAAAATTTATAATGAGATTCATTAACCAGAAAACAATGAAATATGAAGTTCAGCCTCAGGTTTACATTTCAGCTATGAGCCTAAGGAATCACTGGGAAAATACTAGGACAGACACGTATTCAGTCATTTTGTATTTCTGAGTTCTACCTTTTTTTCAACATATACCATATCTTATGCAGAAATAATGTACAGCTTAGGGACTGTCACTAAATGAACATAACAGTCATCTTTTATTTTCAAATTCATAGAATTTTGAGTATTCCTCAAATTACATGTTTTGTTTTGTTTTTGTTTTTTTAAGAAAGAGAGTCCCCAGGAAAAATACCTTTATTTTCCCATATATTTCAAGCAGATGTCATCTAGAACAGTATCTGATTGAATTTCATAATTCTTTACAGCCTATTCAGAACCTATCTGTCATATTCAGTATTCAAATATTAGGTCCTAAAGACATAAGAGGCACAAAACTCAGCATCAGGGCTCACCAAAGACAACCACATTCAGTGAGACCTGAAGCATGTGGTGGAAAGCACTCACAGGCAGAGAGAGTTCCAGCAGACTGTTTCTAATTAAACTGTCTCTTATAATGCTCTAAAACACATATCTGCTTTGACCATCCAAGAATAAAATCTTCTGCTACTATGCACAGTTTGATTTTCAAAGCTAGTTCTTATAAATTCTTCCCTGTACGGGGTAGCAGCTCTCAACAGCCACTCTGCTGCCTTCTTTCAAATTGCACCTGCATGTCTGGGATGCTTACAAAAAGCTTGAGAACATTCAGTCTGCTAATGCTCTGTAAAAATTTTCCTTTCTTGCTGAGCTGTTTTGTGCTAATATACTGTACTCTTCATTTATGTTACTCCCCTTTTACCCCAGTGGTTCAACCATACGCTTTTGGGGCAAGGAGAGCCTTTTTCCTGAGCCCTGTACAGGCCTGGGCCAGTAGAGCCCTAGGACCCACCTATGTTCACTGGCAATAATTAAGAATGTAATGCAGTTGATTGACAAAAGCCCTGCAGTTAGCAACAATTTGATATCTCCAAAACACTGAACTGCAGATATGAACTACAGGTCACTAGTTCGTATTTACCACTGCTGCTGTCCCAGCTACTTAGTGTCCTTTCACTCATGGTGCCCACAGAAGAATGTTTCAGGTTTGAGAAGTCTCCCTTCAGTTCTAGAAACTGAGTCCAGCTAACAACGTCTACAACTCAAGATTGCTTCAAAAATTACTTTCCCAACAGTCAATTATTGTGCAATCTTTTCAAGTACTGATGTTTTCAGCAAGCCCAGGAGTCTTTTCTTTCAAAGAATATCATCCACTAATTACCACATATAATAACTCAAAGCAAACTTACACAATTTGTACGATTGTTTTCACTTTTTGTCCTGTATACCATTGTATATACACTCTGTACAGCTGTATGACTGCCCATATTCTGCAGGCAGTGGGCCTTGGTTGGTTATCTTCCTTTTAACTCTTGTATTCAATTCCTCATTTTCTTTTGTCTTTTGATATTTCTTACACAAGGAACTTTGCTACAAATGCTAAGACAAGTATCAGGACATTCATGCTGTGTTTTAACATTTGATTTAACCAGATTTGATATTGATAAGCACCGTTTTGAAACTGCAGTCTGCATAGGAGAGGTGCATTAATGAAGCATGGTTACAAAAAGTGATTTATCAATCTTGTCTGGCATAGATAGAGAGTGCTTTAGACTCCCTTTGTTAGACTCCCTTTAGAGACCCTTTGTTAATTTGTTCATGAGGAGCATTCAGCAAGAGAGGCTTCTTGCAAGGAAGGAAGGTACTTCTTAGATAAACTGAAAGGATACAGAAGTTTTCAAGGAGAAACAACACTACTCTTTATTCTGCAGCGAATAACTGCAAATGGGATTTGACCAACTTGATAGTGCTACAAAAGCACAACACACAGAATAAAGGAATTTTTTTATCCATGGTCATCTAGGAAGAGTAGGCAAAAAGCAATCATTCTGAGCTCAGTTAAAATCTAAAAAAAACCCCACATTATTAATATATTATCATAAATTTCAAATAAATTCTGAATGTACAATCAAAATTATATGTCATGAGCTCTTCATCTAATTAATTAAATTCTGGTACAAGTTTTAGGACCAAATTTTGAGTACCAAGACCACTCAGACCTTAAGTTTATGTCCAGAAGGATAATTTATGACATCAAATGTGCCCAACATCATGTGTGTCTTTACCCAACTTTTCCCAGTATATTGAAGTCAAAATCCTGTTATTTATTCTCACATCCATTCTTTTCATCAGTGGATGGTGGCACAAAGTCAAGACTGCTTTTAAAACTTCCTCTAGAACTACTTTACATAAGCTGTTCTATGAAAAGAGAAGAAAAAGTGGTAAACAAACAAAAAGCAAAACACAATTCTGCTACTTAGCACAGTCTAGATGAAATTACTTTCATAAATAATTCATTAAATCTCCAGTATTAAACAGGTTAAATCATTTTTATTTGATGGGTTTTAGTGCTATTAATCCTTCAGAACAAGAATTAGAAATTGAATAATCTCACATTATTTGTAACTGTGGTGGAGATATGTGGTTTTTTTTAATGCAGATATAAAGGAACTTTCTGAGTTGCAAATGTAGTTTATTAAATTTCTTAATAGTACCATAGCTGGATGTGATGGGATTTTTTTTTTTTTTTTTTTTTTTTTTTTTTTGCCCAGGCCATCCTAAGTGCAAATTTCAGTGAAGGAAGAATCATGGTTCTTTTTAAGCTTCATTCCCATATTTTTCTTCCTGCTAATTCTGAAATGAGGCGTAATCTGGGCTATCTGCGGTGCTATCTGTTCTTCCTATTGAGAAATTAATTTCCTATACAAACTTGGAAATCTATGATTCTCTCTATTCAAGTGAAATATTTTTAATTTCAATATCAATTAAAAATCAGGTGGGAAAAATTATATATTTGAATCAGAAATGTAAATCTTCATGGTTTTGAGCAAAGAAAAAAATTAGGGTTTTTTATTTCAGGATGAATTAAGGATCTCTGTTCTCCCTTTTTTTTGAGCACCTAAATATTTTCAATTTATGGAATAGACTGAGAAGAAAATTATAGAATTGATTGGGAAGGTGTAGCCTCTTATTTTTTTTCCAAGCAGCTTAAAAGTAGGGCCTTTCAGTCACCTGAAAGACATGCTCAAACACACATCTGCTCTTTTTGACGGCATTTAAACATTATATCCAAGGAGAGCAACTTTACTAGCAGGTTTCTGTGTATTGCTCAGTAAATTCCTCACATTCCCTCTTCTTGACACCAATACTTTTTATAGAGAGTTTTATACACTGCATTAGAAAGGGAGTAGTAACTATTATATAGCTGGTAGAAGCAAATGGGGCTTGGTTTGGTTTTTTTTGGTTTTTTTTTACTGCAAACCATGGGTTTTAGTCTGTGCCTCACCTACAATGCATTTTCTGCAAGCAAAATCACAGGTCAGACCCCAAGGGATGACATGTTCCCAATTTGTCTATGGAAAATTTGGTCCAAAATAGGCTACAGAAGAATATTTGGTTAAAATCCTCTGGAAAGCACTGTCTGTTTCTAATTTTTCTGAAATATTTCTTCTTCTAAATGATCAGAAAAATCCCATTCAAAATTCACAGTTTTTCATTAAAATAATTTTTAATATCTTAGATAAACAAAATAGCCTTAAATTATTTATATCATGGATCGAAAGGCCACCCAGACATTTCTGAAAAAAAATTATTTTGACAGTTGGAACAAAACACTTACAAAGCTGGATTTTAAGAAATGTCTCTTTCACTGTCCTCAAATAGCAAGTTGTGTCAGTACTGGCTCTGATATCTGAAAATATCAGTGGGTTTTAGTTAAATTTTGCACTTAAAAAAACTTGCTAGGGTTTGCAGATGTCTGTCTTATGTTCTGCTATAATTTTTTCTTGTTTGTTTTTCCTAGTCGGCCTATATTAAACAAAACAAAAACAAGAAAAAATTCCAAATCTTGGTCTGCATAGCAAACTAGGAAAAGATTGCAGTGCACCTCCAGCTCAATTGTATAACCACACAGGCAACCAAAAATAATCACTTCTATTTTTCTGGTGAAGTGTTGAAAGAGCTGCTATTTCGACCAGCATGAATTAGCAGGCAATATTTTAACTATCAAAGTGAACCCTAATTCAATCTCGTGATAAACCTCAGATGTCAAAGTGTTTTCAAACTGCCAAAGCAAGCCTGTGAAGGCAGAATAACCCAAGGCAGTGAAATCCCTGGCATAGCCCCAAGCCTCTCTGTATGGCAGAATGGCACAGGGCAGACACAGTGGCAGGGTTTCATCTGGTGGTCCCAAAGCAGTGCAGGTTTATCCCAATGATACTTGGTTAAATGAATTGACTGTGTTTCATCAGCAAATGAACAATGCTTAGCTCACTTCTCCTGCATTGCCTCCAGCTCCAGTTTGGTGGAAGGAGTCATGGGAATACTTGTTGGAGTCCTGGGATGTGTTGGAGTTCAGAGATGTCTCTATTGGACTCTTCTGTCAGACATGGGCAACCCCTGATGAGCTGAGGGACACAGCTCCCCACAACCTTCAGTGGAGTTGCCAAAGCCCACCCATGTTTTCTAGGTGAGTGTGACTTAAAAGCAAGTATTTTTGCTATGGTAACACATTAGATGGAACACATAAGATATGCACACCCTTTTTAATGAAGGACTTCCCAAGGAACAGAAGCAAGAAGAAGCAAATTTTAGAAAACTAAAATGTAAGCTGTACCTGTTGAAATGAGTTTAGGGAGTCATTCAAGAGTGCCCAAAAAACCCACAGCAACTCATCCAGGCAACCAGCTGGCAAGCCCACAGCACTTCCAAAGCAACAGCCAGACTGTAGCAGCTGCCAGCTGATCAGATGTTGTACTTTTTGAGATACTACTTTCCAGACAGAATCATATATTTATATCTAACTCCATTACTATCTAAAACACTATTTTTGTTCTCAAAAATAGAGATTATGACAGAAAACTTATCAAGAAGAAAATTAGAGGCAAAATTAGACAGTCATTACTTAAATGGCAAAGTTACATTCCATATTCCAAGAATGCACAGGGATCAGAATCTTAATTGACCACCTCTGTCTCATATACTTCAAGGGATATATAGTATATAAATAAACTTGAGCTTCAAAGAAGCAAAACCCTTTGCTCTACAGAAAGGCCTTGTACAGTATCCACACAGAGTTCTGCAGAACTGACTTCAAGAAGTGCTCATGGAAGCCCACTGGATCAGGATATAAATTCAAAAGGAAACACTGGTTGGATCAGCTCTTGGCTTTGAAACAGCATTATGGGAGAGTCTGAGAATGGGTGCTTGAAGGTGCAAAGCTGGGAGTCTCGTGAAAACACAGGCTCTCCCCTGTGTCCCAAGCTGAAGTCCACATTTTTCCTTGCTTTCGCAAAGCCAGCACCACTGCCTGAAGAAAAGAGAATAATGAAAGATGATAACTCGTGTTCTAAGAATGTTGTTCTAAAATCAGATCCCCAGACTCAGCAGTGACTCATGGCCAATGAGCTCCATGAACTTTTATGAGGGTAAAAATAGCATATTTGCACATTGTTCATTATATACAGTAAACTAACCTCTTTATACCAGCTGCTGTATCACTACAGTGGCTCACTGGGCATTTATTTCTAAGGTTCTAGGAGGTGTACTAATGGAAAAAAATAGAAATAATGTAAAACACTTTTCCTGTCTCTCAAGGTTATGAAATTCAAATGGCCACATATTTTTTTATGCTGATTACCTTTTATGGGCTATGATCAGGTACAAAGGAAGTTAGCTAAAACCTTGATGTCTTCAAAAAAAGCATTGCATGACATCTTGACTGAAACACTAGATGTGAGCACCTCTTCTTCAAAGCTTTTATTAAAAATCTCAGTGCTCAAAGAAAACAAATAAAAAGTTTTCCTCAAAGTTTAATAAACACAATTCAGAGAATATGCACTTAGCTTTCCAAGCCACTTGAGTGTGCAGCAATGGACAGGAATCAAACAATTCAGCATAGAAATCCAAAGCGGTGAAGAATATGAAAGAAAAATCCTATTTAATTGGACCAAAAGGTTATTACAATCTTCTTGAATTGCTGGTGTTCCTGATAGTACCAGCTTAATTAGGCCCTAAGGATACTGTCATGGACTACTCCTAAGACAATTCCCTCCCAACTTCAGCATACCCTGAAACTCTGGGCTTCCCATCTCCAATGCCTTTGGCAATGGCTCAAACTAGCAACTAGTCACTACATCATTGTCTGTTATATTTTCAGCTCTTCACAATCTCCATGTGTACAGAATTTAAAAAGACATTTCTGAATTCAAGGGAATTTTCATTTTTCTCAAGATGGAGTGCAACCTGATCTTATTTCTTCTCTTTCTACACCCAAGAGCTATTACCTTAAGGAAAGAGAGCAAGTTACATAAGGAAGAAGAAAGGAATCTGATATATTCCTACATGTGTTGCTTGAAAGTCTTTGATCTACTTGTACAAAGATGAATATGCTATTTTGGCCATCAGTATTGTCAGAGCCTGCTGTGGAAGAGAGAGGGTTTGGAGAAAGGGGTTGGAGAAAAGAGGGAATACTTCTTACAGGATTAATTCTCACATCACAATATCTAGAAATATAGCAATGTATTGGAATGGGTGCAGAGAGAGAAACAAAGAATTGGGGCAAATTATACTCCTTACTGAATGAAGAAGTCAAAAGATACCACATTAATTGCAGGCAGGTTCCCATCCTCTTGAAGCAAACTCAATAAATACATGTCTCAAATTACAGCTAGATTACAAAATTACAAATTAATGATACACAGAAGGATTTGTTAAAGAGCATTATTAAAGCTGACATTCAGTTGCTGGAATTCAGACCTAGGAAATGACAGAACTGTCTGTAGAGACATCATGATTCACCTGCCATCCTCTCCAGAAATATATAAATTACCGCAATATTTTGTTGCATAACCACACTCTGAGTGCAGACTGATCCAATCTCACTGAGTTACAGGTGCACAAGTGCTGGGCTCGTTTGCCCCCAAGCAGGCAGCCCGGACCAGATAGCTCAGTCCTTCATGGGGACAGACTGTCCAAGTACCCAGGCCGCTCTCAGCTGCTGGCTATCTTAGCAAACCCAAAGGATATCAGCTCTTTAGTGATTCAGCTCTCTCGGGATTCCAGCTCTTTGCTTGCTAAGGTGCCCAGGCTAGTCGGGAAGCAGACGCGAGGAAGAAGAAAACGTCCTGGCATTCCACAGCAATGGTTTTATTGAGGGGTCTGTGAAGGGTTCCAGCGATGGCTCTTCTATACCAGAATGGGCTAAAACAGCCCCTTTTTATAGCGTATAAGGGGATCCAAACTTGTCTATTAGTAGGGGTTAGGGGAAAGTGATCTATGGGGTTACAGAGATATAAGCTGGGGTCCAAAAGGCGGAAGGCAGGGGCTTCCTTTGCTATTTCATCGTGACTTGGCAATTCCTATCTTTGAGCCTCAGCCCTCCATTGGGACCCTAGCCAGCTCAGAGCCTGCTACACAAAAGGGGCTGACATCCCATTCTCTCCCCCTCTACACCTCTCAGCACAACCTATGATCTTGCTCTTTTCCTGTGACTTCACATCAGGCTCCCGGAGCACGTGGATCTGAGTCAGTCAGTCAGCCAGCCAGCGTGCTGCCCACAGATGAAGCAGTGGGATAGGAGTTGTACCTGGTAGGTGATATGCCCCCTGGTGATTCACCACTGTGGTCTGCTTCCTGTCATAGTGTCCAGATTTATTAGATTGAGAACAGAGAGACAGAAAAAATCATGAGGCACACATCATTCTTTCAGGCTGATTTGATGTGCAGAATGGACTTGAGTTAAGGGGCTTGCCTCTCTTCTGCACACTCTTAAAACATTTTTACATAGGCAGTATGTGATTATGAGTGCTCTCTCACAATTCTTTCTACAGAGCTCCTCAATAGAATTTTTGAAGACTTCATGGGCCATCTTCCCAAAATGCATCTGTGAAAAAGGTCAATGGCATTAGCTGTGTATGGCTGAATCTGAGGCATATGTTAAAATCATTTTTTCTCACACAATTCTCAGGCCTAGGATTCTGCCTCACTCAAGAGATGCCCAACCTGTTCTGTAAATAGGTTACTGATGACCAACCCAGATCATTCTTAAACTTTTTAATTCTAGCTCCTGCTCTCAGCATTCTGTTTTTGAACAATTGACTTCCAATTTCCCATTTATTCCCCCTACTCCAATTCAAAAAATTGGGTATTAATTGTTTCTCACCAAACTGGCACAGCAAAATCCAGTATATTTTCCTTTCTTTTCTTTCTAATTCATTACCAAATGCTTTCACTGGGTCCTTCTCCAGTTTTCTGACTCTCATGCAGTCTTTGTCTAACCACACTTTGAATTTATTCCATTTCCCCCTTCTGCTTTTACTCTACTCCTCACAACAAGAAAATATTACTTCTTCTTCTTCAAGAGGCTAGGCTCACCGAAATATAATTAAGGGAAAGCTGCTGAAACTTCTGTAGTCCTGAGCTCAGGCATATACAAATAGTTTGTAGCAGCAACAGTTATTCAGCATGGTTATTTCTGAGCTATGAGAACCACACCATTCTACAGGAATGGGACAGGTGTAGCTTGAGCACCATTTTGGGATCTGTCTGAGGGAAACTAGCTTGAAGAAAAATGGCATTTGAATTTCTTTGGCCATTTTAACTATAGAAATTTAAAAATTCTGCTGTACTCACCAGTTTGTTTTCACAGAGATTGAAATAGGTTGCCCACGACAAAAAAAACCCAACAAAAAACCCGCAAGCAAAAAAATAAAAGACCCCACAACTTTTCAAACAACTTTGAAGACTAGGGATTTTTAAAGGTATAATCTCAGAACATTATAGCATGGGCAAAAAAAAAAGATCTCTTCCCTGATGGTGCTACTGTTTGTGAGGAGCAAAGGAGAGAGAATGATGAAAGGAAATGACTGGAAAAAAAATTGTGGAATCACTTTGGCTGAAATTTTCCAAAAGAAATTTCAAACATGCAAAAATTTAAAAGCTTTGTACCCATTAAGGCATCCTATACAGAAAAGTTTCCAATTACCACTTATTATAAGGAAATGCTGCAAAAGGATTTATATAACCCTGCTTATGTATCTTTTAAGTCCTGTGCTTCTGGGGAAATTAAATTATTTATTAGGAAAAAATTGTAACATTTGGCATACTGTGTTTACAATTTTAATTATCGAATAAGAAACTCTAGGTTTTTCTAGGTTCCACAAATACTGACCAGGAATGGTTTGCATGCAGTCATTCTTGATTTGGGACAAGAGGATGGATTAATGCTTTTCTAACTTTTCTTTCAAACCTATTTTCTTAGATTAACATAACCCTTTTTTCCAAATACTACACCTACACACTCTTAGACTACAATTATGGGCATTCACATCATCATCAGTAGCCTAAAAAATCCCTTTTACATCAGCAACATATAAAGAGAAGCAGTAACTGCTTATGTTAACTGCAGCTAAATTTATCCAGCTGCGTATTTTGCCTCTAGCCATTTTAGTTACAGCAAGTCACACAAAGATAACACAGAAATTAAAATATCTGAGGGCTGTTGAGGCTACATTTCCATTAGCAAGAGATATAGGTGCCAATAGAAGAAGTTTTATAGGTAGAACTATTAGTTCTGAGCCCCTACGCTTTGTAGCAATACACAAATATACATATTTTGGGTGTTTTACTATAGTCTAGCCCTACTCTGGTCCCATGGAGTGTTGGACTAGAGCAGGTGAGTTCCGGGATGGATTTTATCAGAAGGGATTTAATTCATCTCTGGTCTCTCTATATGAGACACTGACTTCAGAAAAGCACTCCTGCCCCAAACCAGGACCCCAATGTAGGCACATCTTGTCAATGAGGTTTGTGAAGCTGTAGTACAAACCAAGAGTGGCCCTTTTGAAGTTCACATTGCAAAGAGAAGAGAGCAAGATCCAAATCAGGACCCTGGAACAATATTACTGAGCTTTAAAGCTGAATTACAAATGCTTGCATGAAGAAGGTTCATATTTGTCTACAAGGGAAAGGGAGGCAAGACAGCATGAGGTCTCAGCAGGTGAATTAGAGATGATGCTCATTACCAATTGAAAGAATTGCCAGGAGCTGTTACTTTAGCTGGATAAGCTAGGTAGCCTGTAAATTCATGGCTATCTTAGCTGAACAGATAGACTACAGGAAGAGAAAACTTGCTTTACTTTTTGTTGGGGTCATGCAGGGCTAGTTCCAGAGAATCTGTGTGGATTGTGTGACATGAGGAATTTGCAGACTCTTACAGGGTAGGCAGAAGTTACCAATTTCTAGATTCCCAGAAGTCCCTTTTATGGCTGAATTCTAAACATTTAAGAAGGAACTTGATGCAAACATATGTATTGTTGTAGTTATAATGCCTTCAGGTCAAGTAACTCTTATCCAAATGTGGCATATAAATTAATTCTTCTGATGAGCAAGGGAGATTCTTTGCTTATTTATCCAGTGTGGGTAAAGGGACCTGTGTGTGCATGAAATAGTTTGGGGAGTTGTTTGTTTGATTTAATGAGTATAATTTCTGTATTGAATTTTCTAGCACACATTAAATTGCAAGCAGATCATTATTTCTATGCAGAACCTTACTGAAGTATACCCTTACAGACTTAACAAAGAAAAGCACACTTTAAGGTTTCAGAGGGTTCTTCTTTCTGGTTTTGCATAGAATGAAATAAAATAATTAAAAATTCCATATAAAACCCTGCAATTTTATAAAACAGTATTCAGAAAATATGAAAAATATGGAGAAGAGTCAGGCTCTTCCTCCATGACCAGGTTTTCTGCCTTCCAGATTCAGTGAGATAAGGTCAGTTCAGCAAAAAGAAATCAATGATTTATCCAGATCTCAGGCTCAATCTTATTTCTTTGGCACATTTCTGTCTCTGCCACAAAGGTTTGAAGGATTTGGAAGGTGGGACCACGTGAACCTCATGAAGACAAACAAGGCCAAGTGCAAGGTCCTGCACTTGAGTCCAGGCCATCTCAAGCAGAAGTACAGGTTGGTTGGGTGGAGAGGGGATTGGGAGCAGCCCTGAAAAGAAGGACTTGGAGCTGTGGATGAATGAGAGCCTCAACATGACCTGGCAATGAGCATGTACAGCTCAAAAACCAAACATACTCTGGGCTGCATCACAAGAAGGGTGACCAGCAGGTAGAGAGAAGTGATCCTGAGACTTTACTCTCATGAGACCCCCCCCCATGTGGCATCCTGCATCCAGCTGTGGACCCCCCAGATGGCAAATCTGTTTCTTTCTCTACTAAACATTGCCCAGCTTTTCAAATTATTTTTAAGTACTTACACTTTAAACGAGAAGTTTAAATTAAAAGTTTCAGAAATGTAGGGAAAATGTTCCTTGCCTTTAGGAAATAGGCAAAATGTAGTTATGTGAGGGCTGATCACCTAAGCTGTCAAACTAGAAAAGAAAATCTGTCGCCACTAAGGGGAATAGGTTCATAGAAGTCCACCAAAGCCCAAGTGAAACAGAATGGTACAAACTGTACTGTTTAAAAGCTCACTGATAAAGGGGTCTCAGAAGCAGAGAGAGGTCTCTTGGTATGGTTCTAGGTTGGCATGATTCTAGTCTGAAGGATCCTATGAGCAAAAGTAGATGCTCAATATTGCGGGCAATTACAAATACATTCCATGTACATTCTAATGGGTTGTGGCTGGTTATCCCTCATAAGGGGATAAGGCACACAGTCATAAGGCACAGTCCTATGTGTAAACACAGACTGGAATTTACTGTGAATTCTGTCACCATAGTTACCATAACTATTCCTTCTCATCTCATTTTAGTAAAAATTATTTTCTTTTGTCTTTGGAACACCCTTTCAGTCAAAAAGCAACAAAAAATAGGATTATTTTCTTTGTAAGGTACCTTTTCTTCTTTCACACTTAAACCTCAACTTAGGAGAACGCATCCTTTTGGGAAGTTGTCAGGGTCTTGTAGCAGCTGCACGAACTGTATGGTATATGAATTAGACAAGCAAAGTGTTACACAAAATGACACAGTATAAACTTGCATTACATTAACATGGTTTAAGTAACCCTAAGATAGTCAGAAAGTGAAGAAGACCTCATCCAGTAGAAGAAAGAGAAGATAAATGGATAACAGTATTGTCCAAATGGAGACTTATTCAAATGGGAACTTACTCAATAAGGAGAAGAATGCTTAATGCCTATTAGCCTGCTGGATCTCATTCCTATCCCGTGGTGGATCCCATGGCTTCATTTTTCATTTCCTTTTGCTGTAACCTCTATATTCCCCACTTCATTCCAAAACCTAACTTCTCCTAAACCTGTTGGCTCACCCACAGCCAGCCTTTGCTCCCTGTCCCCTCCCTCTATGCATTTAGGCTCAGCCATGTGCTCTCAGATATCATGATTGCACAATTGCCTGTGATTTCTGCTTCGTTTTCAGGAGAGGTCAGCCACATGCTACAAGCCCTCAGCAGGACCCTGGAGCTCTGAATCCTCTATTCCCATTTGGCAGAGTGCTGCTGGAGTGCTTCAAGATGTGTCAGTGAGGGGCACGGTATGAAGGGGAGGAAAACCTCTCCCTTTTAGAAGACTTCTTTAGCCCAGATTACTGCAGCACAGCTGGCAAAGCAATGGGGACCACGTTAAGGCATGGGAATGGGGTTGAAGGAGGACAAAAGGCAAGAACAAAGCCCCCTCAGCTGTTTTTGCTGCCAGAGACAGATGGACACACCTATCTAGCTTGCCTGGGTGTTGTTCTGGAGAGTGGAGCAGGCACATCAGGGATGGGGCAGTGGCTGCAGCCTGGGCACACAGAGCTGCCCCCTCAGCTTTGTCAGGGGCATTCACAGGAGGGGCGTCTGGCTCTCAGGGCTGTGTGCCTCCTGTTCCAAGGAAAGGGCCTTACAGACACATAAGCATTTTGAAATGTATGGAAAAACCAGTCCTGAGGCCTGCCAGTTTCTGACACTACACAGCCTTGCATTTTATATATCCGGAGAGAAAGTCCTGTCAGAAAGATTTGTTATAGCAGGAGTTGTTTCGTGAGGAAGAACATGGAAGCCCCATTTGAAGCACTCTTCTTTCTTTTATCTTTGTCTCAAGTACACTGACATGAAATTAATCTCATCTGAGAGTTTAAAGGGCTTAATTCCATATTCTTTTGTGATTGTTAAAAGAAGCAGGAGGCAAATTTAACTACAATATGAAGTTCAATTATTTCAATTACCACCTCCTGCCTAAGTGAAGTCTGTTCCTTCAAAGACATCTGCAATTTTACACTCATTTGCTCTTAAAATAGCATTAATTATAATAGTTTAACTGGATATTCTAAAAGAACACATGAACAAATTAAATAATTACTTACGTATATTAAAAAGTTGCATACATGTTTAATTTACAAATTAGTTATTTACCTTACATAATTAATCATGCACCTAAGAATAAGTCTTAGTAAGTATTTCAAGAGTGCGACATGAAATTTTGGTCCATTTTAGAAGTCATATTAATATGGGATCCTACTCTGCAGGCCATTTCACAAAATGGAATAAACAGATCTTAAGTAGCTGATACTTACAAAAAGCACAATAAAGTGGTATAAATTACAGGGGAAACTATCATATTATCACTTTGGTGCTTTTTCTGGAATGGGGAAGATAGGTGTTGGCAGGACTGTTTCTCTGTGTGGGAACTTGTTACATTGTGGATCAACAAAACGACAGAACAAAGAGCAAACAAAAAAGACAGAAAAACCACAGGCAAAAATAAGATAAGGAAAGATTGTTGCACAGTAGGAAAGGGAGTGAAGTGACTGTGAAGCTGACAGTGGTGCTCTAGACAGCATCCCAGGGTGTCCACTGCAAAAAGTCTGCAAGGAAAAAAGATGCATGGAAAAAGACTCAAAACAGAAGGAAGTCAGGATTTTATCACATTTTCTGTAGTATTTGTCAGTCTTTATGCAGGGAATTTATTTCAGTTATGCCAAATGGCACTGAATAGACACCTTACATGAAGAAAACTTCAGTGTTGCAAGTACACAGGAATGAAGTGCACTTAATACTCTGGTTACAGACGGCCCTGGGCATGGTTGTCACTGAATTTAGTCAGAACTGACACAAACAGGTACATTTCTGAGAGATCCATTTGAAATCACAATCATATTTTGCATCTAATCCTGACCATTCTTTTCTGCTTCCAGAAAAGGCAGGTGCTAATATTGCAGTGAATAACCAACAAAGCAATTTAAATTCTGCTTAGATTGCCAGGTTCCATTCTACCTAACCTATGGCAATAACCCTGTACATATCCAGAGAGAAATGGAATGAAAGATGTATAATCCCACACATAACAATCTGAATATCAAAAAATTTTATTACCAGACTTCAGCCAGAAAAGCTATAGTGGGCACTGATAAAAAAACAATGCAAGAAATTTATTATATCTCTGCTCTTTTTACTGGGCTACACCGCACAGACTGATACCACTTCTTTGCTGGGATCAAAGACACCTATACTTATTTTCAGAGTACTTCTGTGCAACATGCTTGGTGACTTCCCAACCCATGTGCAGACCTAAGGACACACTGATTCTGCATTATTACCTTGCAACAAGTCAGAAAGACAGGAAAGAATCTGCTTTTTTTTTTTTTAACTGTATTAATTATCTTACTTAGATCTAAGGATGGAGTTTGTCCTGATTCTGCAGTGATGAATATTAATGGCACCAAACCAATTGAAATTCTCTGGCCAACACTGATGAACCTGCTGTCTATCATTATATTTTTATATATTTTTGTTATTGTTAACATTTTACCAAGCACAATGACATTGGAATAAATCAAGCAAGACTCCATTTTCTTCACGAGGGAAAAGCCAAATCTTTATTTATTCACATAACTTATTTAATACAGTTTTCACAGATCTCGTGTCCAACATCTATTGGGTGGTAGTTTTCTTACTAGTTCATTTATTGGTCAGAAGGTGATTTGTGTGTACATGCTAGGGTTCAGGTTGTTTACATTTTTCTTTTGTGGGTTCTCATGGATCAGATCTAACATTTATGTGGGTGCACTTATTTTTCACCCAAAAATTGGTTGTTATGTTAATGAACTATTCATACCAAGATTGTTTTTGCATGGGAACTTGCAAAGTACTAGCTGCACTTAGAAGAAATGACAGGCTAGCTATTGGTTTAACAGAGCAGGCCTGATTTTATGAGGCCTTTCTTTTTATAATTCCTCTCCCTTTCTTTTTATAATTTTCTTCTACAGTGGCATTATTCAGCAAATAATATTTCATCAGATCCCAGATGACTGCTTATCTCTAAAAAGAAAGAGATGGAGAAATGCATTGTTTTATTCACCATCTGTAGGAAAAAAGATCACAAGAATTTTTTCTGGAGTCACAGTGTCTGTGTTTAGTTACAGCTCAGTAATTCTCTGTAGGACACATTTAAGCAGAGAATGGACTTTAAAGAGTGAGCCCTGAGTACTGTCAGAGACAGCATGGGCAAAGAAATTGTACTCACATAATAACCTGACTTAAAACAACGAGCATCTCTTCCCTCTTGTTTCAAGAAGTTAACTAGTAAAGGAGGAAGAAAATCTTAACCTCAGGGACTCACTAAAGACATATTTTCTTATTAGGAACTTGCTGAAAGAGGAGATTTAGTGTACCAGGGCCAGGGGCAGGAGATAACCCTTTCAGATTGAGAAATGATTAATGTATGATACAAAAAGTGGGTGGAAGCACTGTTGAAATATTTGCTCCTCAAAGATGTTCTATCTGAATAATGAGATTACTAGATAATAAAAACTGCTGGCTACTTGTTCCTTTCCATCTCACATTAAACAACAGCTCCCACTATCTGGCCTCGTATGTGTCTCTGTATTTTACTTTGCCATTCCTTGGGGTTTCTCCTTAGCCATACATGTCACAGTTGCTGAAATTCTCAAAGGAAGACATGAAAAAAATACTTAGACAAACAGCTAGAGTATACTTAAACCTCAAACACTGCTATATTAAAAACATAATTCTTTTGTTCACTGAATATTATATCCCTCTGCTTAATCAGACATTGGCAGAAAAAGGGAATGATTCCCAGAAAAAGAAAGAAAAGAATACTTATGGAAAAATATGTTTTTTTTATTCACATATAAGGTAAAATTATGAGGGGAAAAAAATCTCAAATGATTATCCCAAATCACCCTCATTCATTCTCCACAGTAATAAAAATAGTTCCCTGTATGGCCTCAGTCATAGAATATAGTTTAAATAGGTTTAATGCTAAAAAGGAGCTTGCACAAGTAGGGAAAAAAATTTAGAAACTGATGGTAGTTTTCTTTTCTGTTTTACTTTAAAGTTACAACCAGGATACCTCATGATATCCTCAAGTGTGGTCAAGAGGCTAAATGATCTGCATGATCCGGACACATGATCAGTTCTGGAGTGCCTCTGACACATATCACAAAATCTGAGGATAGAGCAACAAATCACTACAGTGGTCTAATATATTGAGCATGCTATGGTCATTCATAATGCAAATAATAAATATTGACATCACTCAGCACAACCCAAATAATTTAATAAGTAAAAAAAAAATCATTAAAAATTGAACACTACTGCAGATGGACCCACCAAATTCTGCCTATTGCATCCATGTTTCAAAGTCCCCAGGCAAATGCTAGGCCTTCCTCAGAAAAGGGAGCACAGAGCCTTGTTTCCAGTTTTCTGGAAAAGTCCAACCATTAGGCAGATCTATAACAAGATAGGCACGACATCTACACTGTTAGAGAGTATTGACATAAAGCGTGATTATCATATTCAACCAGGATTCCTACTCACTTCTAAGATTTTAAAAAAGGTAAGACATGAGGTTCAAAGAATTCAAACCCAATATTTTTTTAGTATATTCTATATGCAGTGTTTGCATTCATCTAACTCAATTTGTGGCTTTTTGAGATTGACCTAAAATAACCATAATTTCCTAAATGCTCAAGTAGGGAACCCAGCCACCTGTTGATGCTTTTGGGCTCAAAATCTAGCTCTTAGGCACTGCAAAATTTAGGAGTAACTTCAGCAGGCAGAACAAATTTTAGGCAGAGCTCTTTTTTTTCTAGGTACTTTATCAACAAAAGATTGTATTAATATGTGATCACTAGCTAAAGAACAATCAGATACTAGGAAAATGAGGCAAAAAAATGCTTTAAATAAGTATGTACATTTTTAATGAAATCTGCAGGCACACACACCTTTAATTCACCTGGCCTTATTTTCACTCTGTTAAAATTCTGCATCGTTCAAATGAGATTTTATGAAAATATCCAGTGCTCTCCAAATATCCATAATGATACTTTTCCTGATGACCTTTCTGTCAAGAGAGATATTGACATTTTAAAAGAAGCAATTGCCCCTCAAAACAGCATCTCTTATTATGTCACTATAAAGCAGGTAGATTCCCCTCCCCACTCAATTTCCATTTTAGTGAAAGAAAGTATTTAATGTCCTTCATAACTAGGTGAGAAGCCTGGGGGAACACAGAGAATTTTTTTTATAATTGCTACTGAACTATTTTTGCAACCAAATAGCCGATGCCTGATGAATGGTTTATCATGGCATGTTACAGGAAAGAAGTGTTCAGTTGCTTTACTGAGAGTTTTTAGTAGACAGCAAAGGCTAAAGAAAGGAAAGAGAAACATAAGTAATAGACATACAGGTGTATGATGTACAGGTATTATTGTGTAAATGCAAATAATACACATACACTACTATCTTTTGACATGGCTTCATGCCTCCTAACCTAGTCCAGAAGAGGAGAATAGGACCTAAGAAGGAAAAGTCATGAAGTCAGTCATGTCACTCAAATGCATTACAGAAAAGAAGACTCCCTATTGTTCTGTCTATTCCTGGGTAAAACAATCAAAATGAGAAGCTAAGTAACAATAAATTTCTTGCAAGTGCATTTTCTGTACAATTAGCTGTTCCGGTATTTCTCTCTGTAGGCAAAACCTCCAAACTGCAATGTTTTTCACTGACCCCTTTTTTATATCCATCCAGTGTTATAATTTCTTCCAGCTTCTTTTTATCTTTGCTATCACAGGTGTTCAGCATCTCCTCCAAGGCAAAGGAAAACTAGACCAAATTCTAATTAAAAGACAATCCTGAACTATTGTTGGTGGACAGATTAGGAAAAGAAGAAGAAACCAAAAATATTTTAAAATATTCTACAGTACTTTCTCTTTCCATATGAAATTCCTCAGCTAAATGCAATTGTAAAAACACTTCAGCAGAGTATAAGAAAACAATGTTAATATTTTACACTATAACTATTTCTAGATCTTCTGACTTTCTACCAATATTTAAGCTCAGCTTTGTGTTTACTGCACTGAAGTCTTTGAAAGAAGCAGCTGTATGGAGCAATCCTTTTTCTGCCAGCCAGAAAAGCTACAAAGATTCCTGGCTAGGTAAAAACCACGTTTGAACACAATTAAGTGGAAAGCTCCTTAGCCCAACAGGCTCTATCTGCCCATGGGACAGTGGCTTAAGAAAGGAATAGAAAGTGATTAAAGATTGGTCCTTTCCTTAAAGGATTCTCCAGCTTCCTGAAAAGAGCATGTTGTGGGGCTGCTTCAGTCAGAAGTTGTAGATAGATGATCAAATTTTTCAGTTACTACATAAATTCATCTGTTACTAAAACCTGTAAAGTATTTGATCTGCACAGCATCCCAATGCAGTAGATACCAAAGTTTAATTAAGTTTGAATGGCAGCTCTTCTTTCTGTTTGTTTTGAGCATGG